TTACTACGATCATCTGCATCGGGTTACTAGCGGGTCCTTTCATTTCTCAGCGTTTCTGCCGTACTTGTCGTGTTCTTCTGATTGTTTGTTGATTTATCTGTTGTAATCATCACTTTGAGTCGTTTTCACTCGCATAACCCTTCGATTTGCGTTCTTCACTTTTCCACTCTTGTTTCTTTGGCGATTCTTCGCTGACGCAGATCTGCTTCCGTTTGGCATGCTAATGTTTCATTGTCAACGTCGATCGTACTTTGTTTATGTTTCGTTTGCGTCATGACATGGTCGCAGACTGGCAATAAGGCCAGTTTGTCGAACTAGTTGACCCGATTTTTCCGGTTTTAGTTCTAATGAGTTACCCTGTGCCTTACAGAAGACAGGTTCATTCCTCAGATAGCCCTGTGATTGCATTCACAGTATTCGGGATGCAGCCAGCTCAGTTATGCGTTGTTCAGCCGTCGTTGTTCATCTTTCGTTAGAATATAGGTCTCTATGCCTCCTAACAACGCTAACAATACTGAAGATTAGTAAAAGCCGGTCTAACATGAAGGAGGTGATTATTCTTTGCCGTGCGTCGTGGGTAAGTACGATACATGTAGATAAGTTAAATTCTGTATTAGCAGATCTGTCAAAACCTGTTGTTTTGGCTGCTGTTTGATTAGAGCGTTAGTGAATGTACTCATTGCAAAAGTCCTTATGCCGTACCCTTATAAGTTGTTACTTCTGTAGCGTATTGTATTTTACCAGTCATTTCTGTTGGTGATTCTTGTCTACAAAAAATCGTCGTTTGTCAGGAGGACGACGACCTGCCGTATGAAGAGGACATTCTTCGCAACCCGTTCTCGATCAAATGTTGGCTGCGATACATCGAACACAAACGACAGACGTGCCAGAACGTGCGTTCTATCTACCAGTTGTATGAACGAGCTTTGCACGAGCTGCCGGGCAGCTACAAGCTGTGGTACGAGTACCTTTCGATGAGGCAACGGGAAGCGTGCGGTTTCTGCATCACCGATCCGATTTACGAAGAGGTCAATCACTGTTTCAAAAGAGCGCTGATTTTCATGCATAAGGTAAGTCAAGTGGTCTGTTTAAACCGTTCGAATGATTTCCCAGTATGACTTGCATTTCAGCGTAACCTATCACGTACGATTAAAATGTCCAAGATTTGTCTCTCGGCGCATTAATTGCTACAATGACAGAGTGGTAATCAGTAGCTCTGGTGCCAACCTGTCTTTCTTAGTCTGACTTGGGACCGGACATCAGCCGTTGCTTTTGTGTTCTTTGTGTTGAGAATCATGCTCTTTATATAATTGTTTGTCAGAATAGTAGGTTTCTTCGAAAGTAGCTGCAGGGAGATCTTTTTACTCTTTTAGGATTAAAGTTTACAAATAGTATAGTTCAGATTCAGTGCGCAACCATTGTTAAACTCGGCGCTAGATCCGCAACGATCATGCAACTCAAGATTGCGAACCACCCTATGAATAGAGTCAGACCTTGAGTAGTTGCCCTCCTATTTTTTTTGATGACGAATTTTGCTTTGGCGCCCTGGTCGTGGCTTTTCCTGTTGCATATTTAAGCTTTTTTTGTACTACCGCAAAGTTGCAGTGATGATGAGTTTATGAGTTTGTAACCCGAGACATGAGTTCAAATGGCACATTTATTCGCAATTAGATTATGTAACACACGAAGCCAGGTTTACGGATAATGGCATTCAAGTTGGTGTCTAAGAGGTTTTTGTTTGACCCTGCTCAATGATGTGGATTTGCATTCTTGCACTGCAGATGCGAAGTCATGGATTCCTGGCCTGCTTAAGCGATCCCAAAGGTTGTCAGAAGCAAAGGGACGGTGCGCCTATGTCGTGTAAATCTGAAGAATTGCCTGGAGATAGGAAGACATTCTGAGCTGATTTTATCAGTGTTTTTTCCCTGACTATTGATTCTGCTATTTGCCCGTTCCACTGTGACTGCTTTCAAGATCTTTCTTTTTCGACAATTGGCTTCCGCGCGGACATGCTAATTTTTTCACACTTTATGAATTGGTTGTTTAATATAGTCTGTTTAGCAACGACAGAGTTCTGTTTTCAACTGCTCTGCTCAGACAAGCCATGTATTCAGTGACCCGGTTCTTCAGCTTTCTCTCGGTTTCTGCGCATGAAAAGTTTATCTGGTATGGCATACCGGTATCTTTTTGTTTCCGTATGACTCCTTTCTTGTATAGGTGGCTATCAGAGTTTGATTTTTGTTTTGGGATCTGCAAACCGTGGTTGCTCATTAATACATGATCATTTAATGGCGACTTGAAGTCGTATGTCTCATTGCTCGTTTCAGGGTGTGGGCTGCTGTATCAAGCTAGTTTGGTTTACTGTTGAACTTAACCAGCCTCTTAGCACTTATTATGCTGTTGCCTACTTTTTATTGTGTATTGTCTTTTTTACTGATCTCTCAACTAACCTATACATATCTCGTAGCTGTTTCGCTACCCGCAACATTGTCTCGGTGAAAAGAAGCGAACCTTTTTCATAACTTGCAAAGGCGTTACCTCTGTTAGTTAATAGGTGATTGTTTTAAACACTGAACTTTAGACAGCTGCTTGAATGAACGCGCCTTCGATTGAGCATTAGGCGATGCTGTCATTTTCAGCGCTGGGTAGCACTTGGGCTATCATTTTTACCGAAGTTGTTCCAACTTCCGAAGTTTTTCCTGCTTGGAACGGTCCAAAAATGCCAGTTTCATAGCAAAAGCGTGTTCGTAAATGACTTCATGGGACTTATGCCTAACGCTTTTGTACACGGATTTTAATGAAGGATTAACACAGGATAAAATGTATCAGCAAAGTTTGTGACATGGAAACAAACCCGATCCTATGCGTTTACCAGCAAACCGCTCATTTTCGATTCCGCCGCTAAGAGAAACAACATTTTCTCCTATGATTGAAACGGCACAGTAATAGCACCGAACCCTTGCTGCAAAGTTTGTAACTTTTCGGAATCTTTGTCCTCCTTACACTTTCATTATAGGCTTACATCTTGCGCTGTTCTTTTCTTGAAGTTAATGGTTGGACTCCGATCTCCATTTCCGTGTCATCAACCATTAGTGTCTTGTTTTAAAGTCAGAGTCTACGGCACCAGTGCGTCTGACATATGGTACAGTCTTTTGTTAGTTCCCACAGAGAGGTACTCATTTATCAACCTCAGAAAGAAGAAAAACAAGTGGCCCCACCGTGACTCGAATCCCAGACTTCTAGGTTCTGAGTCTGACGTTTTACCGACTGAGCAACCATTAACCTCAGTCATGCTCAGTAGTAATTCTTAGTGGCCAGCATAGTAATTCTTACCAGCGAAGACTTGCATCTGATCTGGTGACGTCAGATCCTTCGGCATCTTTCGTTATAACTGCTGCAGCTTACGCTCTAATGTCTTTAACATGCGTTTGATTGCTTCCTTGTTATTCTCTGTGCTGAGATACGCTATAGTCGCGTTTATAGATGCCAAGAATATGGTTGGAATACTGTGAGTTTATGATTCGTCAAAGGCTGATCACAAAGACACGTAACGTTTTTGACCAGGCATTGCGCGCACTGCCGGTCACTCAGCACGACCGCATCTGGCCTTTGTACCTGAAGTTCGTTCAAGACCATAACATACCAGAGACGGCGGTTCGTGTATTTCGGAGGTACCTAAAGGTAAGCTGTCGATCATTTGTTGCGCTGTTCCTTGTAGCTCCGCTGACATATCTTCATCGTCATTGGCAAAACTGCTGGCTGTTGTGATCTTCATCGTCGTCATAACAGTCATTATCTTCCAGTCAGTCAGTGACAATTGTTAGAAATTATCGCTAGAAAATGCAGCCTTTTGGGGGGATTGTTTTTGCAGTAGTTTGCCATGTCTTGTCTTCCGAATACTTGAAGAGTTTGCCATAGAAGATTCGGGTGCGAACTAACAGGAAATTCAAATTCATGCTAAAACTGAATACTCACTTTGTTGACTCCATCATTATCATCGGAATCATAAGCTTCGTCACTTCATTTACTATCGTTATCATATTCACCGTTGTCTGTCGTTGATAAGTTGCTTGTGCTGCTGCCACGTTTTCTGTCGCTTTTCATATCCTTCCACCATTCCCATGTTTCACCTAATCCGGATCCATACGGATCCGAATATGAGCAAAAATCTTGTATTATTGAATAAGCGGCAGTTCCTACCTATCACAGTGACAATAAGCTTGACTTGATTCGATGTTTTTATTCTGCACTCCGTTACTCTGTGTCTTTCGGAGGGCCTTGTGAGAACTTTTGCTGGTAATCTTGTAATGCAGTTCTTTTTATGTTTCGTGCGATTTAGGTAACTTTATTATATTCTCTTTGTTATTTAGTTATGTTATGCTCCACACCTGACTCTTTCTTGCTCGACACATTACAAATTCTGCCCATCGTGGAGGTTTCTTTGACGTCATCAAACAGATCATTACCATTGTCAGTGGTGGTCTGTATTTTCCACAGTGTCTTAGGGTTCATGCCCTTGAGCGGTACATGATCCGTGACGGAATTGGAGCGTAGTGCAGCGGTATATTTACGCCACTGTTAGCTCCCCTGTTTTCTCTTGGAATTTGTCGAAGGGCCCGTGCCCATTCTGGAAATACTTAATTTTATCCGTTTTTGACGTCACAGGGCCCTCCTCCATTTTCAGATATTTACCCACTAAGGTATATTGAACAATCTCCGTTACAGGATACAGTTGTTTATCTATTACTAACATGCTTATATCTTTCCTTTCTTTACGAGTTATCTTGACCTTGATTTTTTCGACAGTGACCTGCAGTTTTATTCTGGTTCAAACTGCTTTCCTGAAATAATGTTTCGAGCTTCTGCAGAACATACATACCAAATCGGCGATGACGTTTATTTCTCCAATCGTGTGTTGTTCACCGCCTTTTGATATGGCGAACTTCAGTTTTCCTTTAAGCACCTAGTTCATCATTACATCCAGTGTGACATTTGCAGTTAGAGACTATTGCCCTCTGTGATTTTTGTTATAATTTTGATGCACGTCATTAGTTCCTATCTATTTCAGTAGTCCTAGCCACCGCTCCAAATTTTCTTTGGGCAGTTCTGCATTTCATAATGTTGATCAGTGGCATTAGTTGTTTTCTTTTCGTTTTCATTGCACTGCAATATTCTCGCTGAAACTATTTGCTTAGCATCGCATTTACTTCAGTTGTTTCCGGAAGAGTCCGAGGCTTACGTCGAGTATCTGAAGTCGATCGATCGGTTAGACGAGGCTGCGCAGAGGCTAGCCACGATCGTTAACGATGAAGGCTTTGTGAGTCGCGAGGGAAAAACTAATCATCAGGTGACGGTCGCTATTCGCGCTGGGCAATGCATAAATCGATCACTGTTTTGCATTTAGTTGTGGCAGGATCTTTGTGATCTCATTGCGAAAAATCCCGACAAGGTCACGTCGCTAAAGGTGGAACCAATTATTCGCCAAGGTATCAAGATGTACACGGATCAGGTGGGCAGTCTGTGGTGTTCACTGGCCGACTACTACATTCGCGGCGGACATTTCGAGAAGGTATGAAAGTTAATATGGTGTAGTTAACTTTTGGTTTGTCACTGAACATAAATGGGGGCCTACGATAGTTTTCTGATTGTTAATCTCCGTAAAACGCATGTTAAAATCAATAGGCTACAATCCTAAGCATTCAGCCCTTATTTGTTGCCGTCCTTTTTAACCGATGCATGTTTGAACGATCTAAAACAACCTTTCTTAACACTATAAGCAGGGTCGCAACTTCGTGTATTTCTGGTTCATTGTTATGGAGAGTAAAATATTTAAGTGATCAGCGGAACCGTAAGGATCTCAGTTGTTGCTAAGAACAGTCCTTGTTAAAAGAATAATCGACCTACTACCGTTGTATAAAAAGTGAGTTTGACGGAAAGAAACTGAATTAGCATCTGCATTTTTGGAACGAAGCTGAAGCCTGAAGATCAAGTGTAGGAGACAGCACGTGAAACGCGACTTCTTAACTAAGACAGAAAGCAAGAGGCACTTCGCAAAACCAACTGCTTGTAAAAATTCGGCTGTTTTAGAAATGATGCGATTATAGCTTGTTGTGCCAGTGCATTCGGCAGTTCATTCGCTGCGCCAGTTCTCGTAAACCATTACTAGCTTCTCCCCAGTCGTCACTTAGCCCAACAGATTCAGCGACTTGGAGCACTTTGTGAGGTTTTGATCACGGAGAGGTCTTTAGCGAGTGTAGAATAGCACCTACTGGAGCCGGCTGCCGCACAACTTCCAGACACTCATTTTATGATTTGCTGCAGTTTGTGAAATGTGACTGCAACTTGAAATTCACTGCTCTTTATGTTTCAAACTGCAGGACTGAATGTTTCACTAATTCACAGCATGAATCGGTATAAGCGCAGCTTGATGTTCCTTAGCACAAGTCTTTGAGCGTTTCGTTATCCCTAGGCAATGTTCATTGTACTGTATTTTATATAATGTCCCGTGTTTTACTGCATTTAACATGTTTCTGGTTTTCTTGTTGAGATATTATTCTAACGTCGGAATTCATATCGACACCATTTCGATACCCTCGTGTTTGAGGCAAGTTTTCTAAAATAAGGTGTAAACTGATATATTAACAGAATAAATGGGCTTAAGTTTTCTTACTCTGAGAAGTGTTAAATTATATGCGGAGTATAGTAAATGTTTACAGATATTGCTTTATGGTGAGCCTTTGCATAAGAAATTCTGCAGTGTTCTTGTTGCGGTTTTTAATTTATGTTGCATTTTGCCGCTGGCGGTAGCTCTCCGCCTCATTTCAGGCAGAGTTGATAAATAGGAAAGCAGGAAGCGGATGGTTTACGATAAAGAAACCTATTTGAGCTTTAAGCTTTGCGATATTACGAAAAATTACTGATATTCATCAGAAATATAGATTCTTATCTGTAGTTTCGGTAATAATGTTCATAAAATTTATTTCCTAGGTTCATCTTCAACGGTAAACTTGACAGGACTTGATGAGTTGAGTGTATTGCTGAAGTTTACAACCTCTTGGTGCTCACTTTGTCACTAAATTCCAAAAATATCATCCGTGTAGTGAAACGAAATGCGGAGAATTCATCAATTCTGTAGCTCTCGTTACGTCCTCTGCTTGTAACTAATAGTCTAGTCACATAATGTAAAGCTGTCAATTACTTAGGTGTCATTTTTCTATCTGACCTTAGCTGGCATGCACACGTACTGCCCCTACTTGTTGTAGGGCTTCATGTTATGCAAAGCCTCGCTGAAACTTTCAGGCATCCTACAATGCCATCAGGAGATTTGACTTTGCATTTATCTTGCTACTTTATTCATATGAATCAGCAGTCATCTTTCTTCGCTTGCTGACGTGCGACTTTGAGGCGCTAAGGCGATAACTGAGAAAAGTCTCTGAAATAAATGGCTTTTCGCACAGTGATCTACCGCTGCGTGTGGTTGATTTGGCGAACTCTCCTAGCACTCGCATGGGAAATCATAAAGAATAGCAGTTGTTCATTGCATGACAGTCTCTTAATGTATTTTCCGAATTTTGTCAATTAGATCTCAATATGTTCAAATGAGTGTTGAAGGATATCGATTTGTTGTCGGCTTCGATAACGGTTAATGGTCCTCTGGTTTCGATAAATTTTTGCCTTGGACTATGGATCAAAATCAGAGGGCCATTAACTAGATATAAGTGTGTCAGTGTTGTTTTTTACCCTTGAAGATCTGTATTCTTAGCCGCAGCACGCGTTCCACAGAGTCTCACTGATGTTAAACAGAACTACCTGAACTCGCTCAATGTGACATGTGTCTCCAGTTTGTCTGTTTAACTGTTATTCCTGATTCCGTACTGGTTTCCCCAGAGTTCATTTATTCATTAATGCCTTTTATTAACCGCAGGCTTAAAAGTGGGATTCTGTTTTGTGATTTGTAGTGATAACATGTTTTTTTCATATTTTGTTTTGCCCAAAATGCAGTTCCTTGGCAAACCAGAGAACTTTCATTCATTCATTCAACAGTGTAACGACTATAATAAATGTTGTATCAGGCTCATAGTCAACAGAACATGGATTCGAGTCTCATATCAGTCACTCGTCTTTCATCTTTGCGATGTAAATAGATCAGTGGTTACCTTCCTGGAAAAGGTATCAGAACACAGTAAGCTGGATTGCCACATAGCTGCAGGCATTGTCTTTAAAACAAGGCACTCCTGCGGATGGTCGAGAAACAGAGATCAGCGCCACACTAAGTTCCTTGTTGAAAAGGATACTATCATTGGCCCCCATCATGGAAATGTAAGGGGTATTGACATTCGAACGGTTGCGAACCTTTGTTTTCCTTTTTCTTTAACAAGCGATATTTAATTTGGAGATTCCATCGAAGTGGCAGCTTCCGTCTTGCGGCTTTTATCATATGTAAAACGACAGTTTCCCGTCATACATAATTTTACAGTATCGGAAGGAAGTGAAATTGATAGTGATTCCTGAGAGTGAAGCAAGCAATTTACATAAAAAGCACGCTGATCGATTCTCATGAAGTGCTTCTTCTTCTCTCTTCTTCTTCTTCTTCTTCTCAGAGACACTTTTTGTAATGTTAGTTTTGTTTAGCGTTTTCTGAGACTCGTTATTGTCATCATATTGAGTGGTCTGTTTTCTACAGTAGTCACTTTTTTCAAAACGTAAAGTTTTCGGCTTGTTTTTGTAACTATAAAAAAACATTTTCTAATCTGTATGAAATGCGTTATGTAACTATGTTACATTTCAGACTGAAAACAGGTTTGTTCACTGAAGTTTGCTAGCAAACGCTTGATTCCTCCGTAGCTGAATTTGATGTGTGCTCCTCATTCCCCATTTTGCCTGAGGGTCGCTTATGAAGCTTGCTGTTTCGCATAATTCACAACTTTTGCGTTATTTATTTGCTACAAGTTCACCGTTTTAGGCACGCGATATTTACGAAGAAGCTGCGCAGACCGTAGTTACAGTGCGCGACTTTACACAGGTGCGGTTAAGGTCTTCACTGGCCTGTAGCTCCCAGTTAGTTTGAACTGTCTCTTTTCTTGTAGGTGTTCGACGCTTACGCGCAGTTCATGGAGCTGTTAATTAGTTCTGCAATCGCAGATCTGCAGAAGCATAACTTGGTCGATAACGAACAAGACGCAATCGAGCTGGATCTGATGATGGCAAGGTTTGAAAACCTAATGGATAGGCGTCCTCTACTGCTGAACAGGTTCGACCAGTCGATATTTTTTTAATCGTATTGATTTCTTGCATCGTTTCTGGCATCGTTCAGTGTTGGGAGTTCAAATTTTGAATTCACTTAGGTTTGACTTTCCTTTACTCTAAAAGGCAGTGACGTTTATGCAGTACTATTAAAGGTAAGGATACAGTGGACCTAGATTCCTTTTATTTACAATTTTCTGAGGACCTGGGTATTGTAAATTTTTACAAATGTTAAAGTACAGGATATTAAAGTATCTCTATCATACCTTGAGTCAGTTTAATAAACGAAGCACTGTATACAAATGTCCTTTGATTGCCATGGTTAGTGGGGTTCTGAAAAATCGTCACATCAGGCGGTAAGCATGTTTCAATATGACTTTTCAGCAGTAGTTAACATGATAAGAGTCCTACATGAGACTGACTTTTTTTCGCATATACGCTTCATTACGTTAATGATTTGTGTGTATTCTTACTAAAATACGACAATAAATGCATGAAAATTAACCTAGTACGTACATATTAGCATATATGTATCATCAAGCTAGGCATATTGTCTGTAGAGTAGTGTAGGATTGAGTATAATGCAACATTCATATTTAAAAGACGCGAGAAGCGGCTAAACCCGGTAGAAACTGAAATATTCCGATTGATAGGTAAAGTCAACCTGAAGGACTACGTCTAAATCAGCTTCCTAAGGCCAAGGTTTACACTGGGGTAGACCTAGTAACGGAAAGTCTGGCGGAAGACAGGTCCCTGTGGTTTGGTCAGCGGTGTGAAACGAACGTGAGAAACTCACGCAAAAATGGTAATTCTGAAAACAGATGAAGAAAGTCCAGGCAACGGTAATTATATGTTTCAGAGAGCAACGTCAAGCTGAGAACAGAGTTTCCAAAGAAATTTCCAAGTTTTCAAACAGTTTGAAGAAACTGATTCGATTATAATTGCAAATAGTTATGTCGAAGCTTTCAGACTCTTCTACTACTGGCTTCATTTCAATAAAAACATATGAAATCTTCATCTCTTTTCAAGTAGTTGAAATGGTCCCTGACTATTTCAGGTGCATGACAATACTTCATGACTACTGCATTGATTAGGGGCGAAAACCCTTCAGTGCTTCGTTATCACATCCGAGCCCTTATTTTGCTCATTGCCGTCCATTCACGAAATAGATGCCAGGTGTTTTCGTGGATATCCTGTAGCTATATCGCATACGCAGAAATTACCTATGTTGAACGTTGCTTATACATCGATCAATTGTACTGCATTTCGTCTTTAGCGTGACTGTATTTTGTTTGTTGTTAGTATCCTTCTCCGTCAGAACCCGCATAACGTTCATGAATGGCACAAGCGCGTAGACCTTCTCAAAGATGATGAGAAAAAGGTAGATTACGACGACATTGTTGCGTTGTTGACTATAGCTTAACGGCGGTTGCTTCCAGGTGATCGAAACTTTCACCGAGGCGGTGCATACGGTCGATCCTAAACTCCAGGTCGGAAAGTTGTACACACTTTGGGTCCGTTTTGCCAAATTTTACGAAAAGAATGGCCAACTTGACGATGTAAGTTTTTGCTAAATTTTACTAAATTAACGCATGTTGCTTTTAGGCGAGACAAGTTTTCGAACAAGCGTTGAAAGTATCGTACACCAAGGTTGAAGATCTGGCAGCCGTGTATTGCCAGTTGGTCGAAATGGAACTCAGAAACAAGTATTTAGTTTTACTGTCAAAAGTGTTCTGATTTACTGTTCTTTCTGCCTTTTCAGAAATGTTAAGAACGCTTACTTGGTGATCAAAAGAGCGGTTACGCCTCCAGCCGCGAAAGTGCACTATTTTGACCAGGCGAGTTTGGTTTATGTCACATGTTTAAATTAAGTTGATGCAGAGGCGCCAGACTACAAATCGGCTGTCCAAGGGACAGCTACTGTTTGGTAGTTATCGTTTTCCAACGAATACCTCCTATATCCCTAGCTGCTATGATCATATGTTTTTTGGGCAACCTCAGGTTCGATTGATTCGGTGCGAACTGGTATGGTTTATTGTTACTCATTGCATTTCCACACCTGTTCTGCGTCATTCTGTGTGACTATTCTGCATTATCGTTTGCGATCTCTTTCCTTTTTTTGATCTTCGAGCTGA